AATTGATCACCTATAGAGGTGCAAAGCTAACTGATGACACTGAGGAGTTAATGTCCTCCCAGAAAGTTCATCTAATCTTCTTAACTATTCAATCTATCATAATGTGGAAATAGCTCCTGACAATCTGTACTAAAGAAAATAGCGAAAAGCCCAGCCAGACATAAACTAAATCTGTACTCTGCTCACAAAATATGGCAATTCTATCACAGGTAAATGGCAAATGGACTCTCCACTGTATCAGCCTTCTCGCCTTCTATTAGCAAAATTCGATACACTTAAAGGCTAGAGAGGAACTCCTGTCTATTTTTTATAAAGAACAAGACAGAGCTGTGTTTAACGAGAAGATTCCCCATAAAGCTCACCTGTCATGTAACAGGCAAATAAAGAAAGCTAATATGGAAAATTAGAAGCTGTTTATCGGAGAATTCAAATCATGTGCCAACTTATCTCAATTTCTTAGTTTAGAACTCCTGGAAATATCTCCATCGTCAGTCGAGTGTTGCACAACAAGAGAACGTAGAAAAAAAAACCCAAGCGTCATTAAAATATGGCAGTAACACTGAATGCTTTCACGGTTATCTACACAAACCACAGAATGTTTTTAGAAGCAGTACAGAGATCTATTTTCAAGTATTGCCAATGTGACACCATGATGCTCTGCTATCTATCCATAAATGAGAATGGGACCATAATTACTTGCCACCATTATGTGAAATTGATAACAGAAAACTCCTATATCAGCCTTTTCCGTGCCACAACATCCATGTCAGATATAACATGACATGGCGCCTTATCTCACATTTAATTTCTGGTTTGAATAAGATTCGATATGTACACTGGTGGAACTCCGGTGACCTTACTCATATGAATGGTTCAACGGTAGATTTTTCAAATTATGGCCAGCAGTTGAATCAATTTTTGAATAGATTAATACGATATGCGACATATCAGATGATTGACAAGATACGGCATGGCAGAGTACATCTAGACTTTGCGAAGGCGAACATGTCAAAACGTCAGCCAACACTCCTGAAGAAGATGTGCCAACATTGCACAATTTTTCAAAAAAAAAAAAAAAACAAGGACTGAGAACAGAGAACTGGTAGTGGGAGTAACGGAGGGCTTTAACTAAGAAGTTGATCTTAACTGAAAATAGAATTTGTGACATTTTAATGTAGATAGTCGGAGAAAGACTTTTATTATAACAGCCCTTGTAGTTTTTATTTACAACAGAGTATAGCTATTGTCTAGTATCTGTCACACCAATATGCTGTTTTACGACAGTTCCTAGATACCTTCTACAAACTGCGCAACGAAATCCGTTATCGCATAATGACAAGTCAACGAATGGCATGAACTCCACGAAAGAGAAGCAGTTCCATCCGGATTTGTTCTAGAACTGAAATACTCATCCATCGCATATTCTACTGACAGCGTTCTCATAGCAAATCTCCGCGTATAGGGCGATATTCACGAAAAACTAAACAAAATCTTAGGAGAAAGAGGTGATGCTCGAATACTTAGAGCGAGGAGGATCACTTTTGCACGCGATAGGGGAAAGTGGAAGTGTTGCTGATGCCCGCTCCAGTTACTCCATGACCAACAGGACGACAATTTACAAGTGACAGTGTGATATTTGCTGCTTTTCGTTACTTCGTCGTCCGATACTTTTTCGCAAACAGTCAGTAAAGGCCCCAGGTACGTCTTCAAAGAAAAGCAAGGTAGTAAGACATGAGGCACCCCCTTTTGTATCTGAATTGAGCTAGGGTATTCGTGAGACTACTTACTGGAATTTGGGAAAGGGATTTTCTTTCTCCATCGACTAATATTTTCCAACGAATTTTCGCTAAGTATTGTCATGAAAAGGAAAATAACTTGAAAGATCGACTTTCTATGTAACTCAGTGTTTAAGCCAAAACCCAAAAATGAACTGTAAAAACGATCATGTAGGATTTGGCGCCTCAAATGCTTTAGATCTTCTAACCCCATCCAAGGGATGGTGTCAATGCATTGATTTTCACCAACTCAAACGAATAGTGGCTAAGTATGGCCAGGCTTTGTGGAAGGCGGTGTCGCTAGAACGTCAGCCGCGATTCGTACAGCTATGTATAAAGGATAAAACTTTCGGCGTTGACGAATCTCTGAGGGAAGCGCCAGGCAATCGTCTTAATTTTTAGCTCCGTTCGAGATGATTGAATGCATATCTGGCCTTTACAACGACTCACCGTGGCTTCTCTGTGTGCCGAGTCAGTGCTGCTTATCCTCCCAGACAAGTCTAAAACCAGTTTGGTTCTTTTTTACCACCGGCAGGGATAAACGGCTTGATGAGCCACGAACGCGAGATCGAATCGTCGACCTTGTGTAGGATGCAGACTACCTCTAACCACCGCGCCATATGCACTCACAGCTTATACATACATATATATACATATACATATATATATTTATTTATATATATACATATATATATATATACCAATTCTCGCTCACTCACACTCACAAAACTCACCATTCCGAAATCCTCACTCAAATGGTGGACGTGGGAGTCTCCCAATGGAAAGTTCCATGACGAAATAGACTACATCCTAGTAAATCGAAAGTTTTGCCTGTTCGATGTCGCTGTTGTTATTAAGTTCTGCACAAGATCAGACCACCGCCTCCTTCGCTCAACATTCCGTTTTCCGCAGAATGGATATAAGGCCGCTAAATTCAAATAACGTAATCCTAAAACTACCCCTCAAACTAGGACGTATTCAAAGCATTAGTTGGTTTTTGGGAAGATACCGTTATCGACAACATCGACGAAGGACGACCGATTCGTAGAATATCTTAACGTTAGCTCTATAAAGGCCGAGAGCCCTAAAGTCACGAAAAGACGTTTGTCTTCGCAGACAGAACATTCGCAAAGCCCAGCGGTAGGCTTCGCCAATTGCAAGAACAAAATGATTGCATTCCGATGCCCTAACGGGACACTTACAGCCTCCAGAAGAGCACTGGAGAAAGCCATCCATTACCACTATTCAGATCTCCTCACTAGCCATTTCCTCTTCATTTGTCACGTGTCACTTGTCATCCTGTTGATCGCTGAGTAACTCGAGCGGCTGCCAGCAACACTTTCATTTTTCTCTATCTCATGTAAGAGTAGTCCCGTGGGTCCTCCTCGCTCTAGCGATTCGCTGAGCATCATGTCTTTCTCTTGTGCCTTTCGCGAAGAAATCGGAACATCGGGTCAGTGGTTTTCCTGTAGAGCGCTTCATGTCCCGAGGAATCCAGACGGTAACGGCTCTCGTCCATCGGTTGTCGTTGAAGCGCATCACGTGTCCGGCTCACCTTATTTTTGTCTCGAAGATGCTTTGCTTTACTGATCATCTTCTGTAAAGGGATTCAAAAGGCTGAAGCGTAAATTGAACAATGAGTGGGCCAATGCGGCAAAAGTGGCAGGTTTAAGATCATCTATTACTTCTCAATTGAAAATCCAATCACTAACATGTATTGTCTTATAATTACTTTTAAAAACACAAGTTAGTAGCGAACATCTTTGCCTTGTCGATTTGGCATCTCATGGTTCTATTAGAGGAGTGTCTGAACTGCTCAATTTTCAGAAAGTCCTGGGAATATTTTGCTTAAATGAGCGGACTGGCAATGGGGCAGCGACTGGCACCTACTCTGATTATTGCCTTTATGTCGAAAGTGGAAGCACCAGTAATGGATCTCCGGCCATTACTTTACTTTAGGTATATAGATGATTGCTTGGTTATCTGTTCTACTCAAGAGGAGCTAGATAATTGATTTAGATTGTTGAACGAACACTCAGAGTATATAAAGTTCACCCGTGAGATCCCAAAAGATCATTGGTTTCCTTTCTTGAACGTACAAATAAGCTTAAGCGAGAGCGGCTACGTCACAAAGTGGCACTGGAGGCCAAGAAGTAAAAATATCTTGGCTCATTATCTCTCTTCTCATCCCTCACATACGAAAAAGGCGCTAGTAAAGAACATGTTTCGAACAGCAGCCAGGCCAGCGTATGTACTGGGGAGGAGCAGAGAGTAGAATCCGTGAAAGCCCTCGGCTCAAGTTTAGAAGAAACAGTACGCCTCCGAACAAAAACTCAAATGGATGAGATAAGTACAGCTATAAAACGCTGTTTGAAAAGAGCGGGTTTAGAGCAATCGGTGGCCATTATAGAAATACCACCGAATACTCTAAGACCCCAAATAGTTTATTACCGCTTATATGACCATCTCTGTATGATGAAAGGTTGTAGATATGTCCTAATGGCAGAGATGGTGATTGCATGAGCGTAGATACAGTCTACCTAATCTCTTGCAAAGCGTGTAGTGATAAATATGTTGGCGAAACGGGTAGGCCGCTCAATGCCTGCATAGAATAACACCTAGCTGACAAGTGTCTTAATAGACAGGACACCCCGCTATGGACGCATAGAGAACAGAATCACGACGGAGTTGATTTTGAAATCGAAGTCACCATCCTTGCGCAGGATCATGAAACATCTGCGCGAAAGATTTTGGAAGTGTTTGGAATAACACGACTAACCAAACTATAAACTGCAGGGAGGAATGCCTCGCTACCACTTGTGATATGACCCAGTATATAAGACTGTTGTTTTGGTGGGTAGGGTGCGTTACGAGCCTATGTGACCTCTTTCTGGTAATCTCCACTTGAGTCTCCATTTAGTGGAACACATTTAAAAATGCGGTGGGTATGTTGAGAGTAAATTTTGTACCTGATGTGATTGAATTCTTCTGGTGATTTTTTCCAAAGGAGTAATGGAGGTGCTTGACTGAGTGCATTGCAGACAATTTGATCTTTCCAGGCTCCAAAGAAGGCAAACTGCCGAAACGTCAGCTGCTGAATAAAGGTCAATGTAAAACCTCATGCCCCACCCAAAGAAGAAAATAAGGAACTATATTGAAGCATACCGAGGTTAACAGATAATTGGTCTCGGAAATACTTAAGAGTTGAGTGGTGGCCAAAAATATAACTTCAGACGGGAGTCGAATCCGCGCCTCATCCATACCAGGGACGCGTGCTACGACTGCACCACCGATGTACATTCGCGCCACCACTCATTCTTTAACATCTCAATGTCAGCTGTCGGTCATCTTAGGTATTTTTGCTCACCACTCAATTCTTTTAGGTATATATACTGCTTCAAAAGCGCCATCAACCAACCAATCTCGCGCCGGCACAAACAGCTAAGCCTTTAGTGCTTACTTAATTTGAAATGGAGACTGCCGTGTTGAAAGAACCCGTCGCTCAGCAATCCACCTGAATCAACACCGAAGTGCTAGAACACGGATTGGCTACAACACGAAACTGCTCATCTATCTTCTTTGAGTATTCGTAAAAATTTCGTGACAGGGCCGAAATTTTACGCGATCGACAGTGCTTTTCATTTGCCGCCCACGAATCAGACGAAACAAATTATATTATCTGATAAAATAGAGAATTATGACGTTTCATGTAGAAGGACGTCACAAAGGGATTGAAAATGAGTAGAATCATTAGCTTTACCAACGACGCCGATTAAATTGAAAAATTCCAATTACTCCAAAGCCAAAAATATCGAATTAATGATATAGCCACCTATAAAATAGATGCAGCATTTCATAAGTTCAGATTAGTTTGTTTCTATAAATCTGCAGAATGCTCCAAGCACGGAAGTCTCTGCATAACCAAATTGAATATATTTGCCGTAATTTTTATTAACGCTTTCTGTTCGTCTAGCCAAAGCTGTTTTACAAAACTATCAAGCACCTCAGCAAAAAGTTTCTAATAGGACTTCATGCACTCGCACGATTCGCTGCAGGAAGTGCTGTCCAAGGCAATTTCTTTTTGCACTGGCTGAATTCCGCTTGTTTGGTACAATATATTGGAAATGCAAAAAAGAACGCTGCCGACGAAACTGTTTGTTGCTAAGCTATTAAACTAAACAAGGAACTGGTACGAGACGGAACTGCTTATTCAGCGTCATAAAACACTCATCCACGATCAATAACTATACAGCGGTGATGGCACTTTCGATTTGTCATTTGCGAGACAGGGAAAATTTATATTACATTCCGAGTGAGTGAATCCTCGCTAACATATTAGCAAAGAATTATGACTTCAACACCACACCACTACTGTAATGCGGATTGTAAAATGAAAAAAAATTATGTTGGACAATTTCCACTCTGTGAGCAGTCATAAGTGACCACTTTGTGAGCAGCCATAAGTGAAGTGAACATTACTTGAAACTTCGTTGTACAACTATCCTCTGCTGCATAGTAATTCTTGTAAAATGAAAAATAAGTCCTACTGTGACCACGAGCAAAGACGTTAATCGTAGTAAAAGCAATTTTTTTTGTTGTTTGTTTCGAAGTCAAATGTTTTGAAGTCTTGAACGGGCAGTCAGAGCATATAAAAATTACGCGAGAAAGTTCAAACGGGAGCTGGCTTCCATTTTTAAACATCCAAGTAAAGCTTTTGGATAGTGGCTATAGTACAAAATGGTATCGAAAACCAAATAACAAAAACATTTTGGTCAATCACCTTACCTCTCATCCTTCACACATAAAAAAAATCGCTCATCAAAAACATGTTTCGATCGGCTAAAAATGCAACAGCTAAAAAACATCTGCTACTCGGGAATGTTCAAAAAGTGGAATTAGGTCCTAAAAGAACCATTCCCCGCACCTGAATAGAGTTCTTCAAACTGCCATTTATATCAAGCGAAATTAATAGCGCGGTTAAAAGGTGCCTAAAAAGATGTGGTCTTGAAAATTTCATGGTAGTTATCGAAACCCACCTCCCACTCAACGCCGTCAGCTGATCCGCAATAGACTTTATGACCGATTGCGCAACACCAAAAACTGTATGATCTGCCTTAATGGAAAAGAGGGGGATTGTATGAGATCGGGCACAATTTATTTACTGACATCTGAAACATGCGGGTAAGAATATATAGGCGATACGGGTAGACCACTTTTCATCCGCTCAGAAGAACATCTAGATAGTAAATCTAAAATAGACAAAACCAAACCTTTAGGCGCACAAAGGGCACAAAAACACAACAATAAGGATTTTGATGTGACTGTCACAATCCTAGCGCAGGAAACAAAAACATCCACGCGCAAAACTCTTGAGGCATCTTGTATGATCGCCAAAAACCCCGAAATGAACCGGAATGACGAATGCTTCACCATCACGCAAGATCTCGCGCCCTTTCTTCGTTTGATATTTTAACCTGACCTAGGCAGCATATAAAGAGGATCCTCCGAATCATTCAATTAGGCTAATACTACATACGCCCAGGCTCTAAAGTAGGCGGGTCGCCGAAACGTCAGCCGAACTTCTACGACTAACTTACCAACCTCGCGTCAGCTAATCAAGATAACTTTTCTCGATTTTCATATAACACCTAATTATGCCAAGGTTTATAGAAAGTTGAGCTTTCGAATTGTAGTAAAAGCAGTTCTCCGCAGTTCGTTCTGTAGTAAGATTTGCTAATGTTTACTTGGAAACCACAAAAGTGTCGGCGAGCGCTCCATTCCCGTCTCCGAGACCCGCTTAGTGAGACTTCAGACCTTAAACACTTTTAGGCACTTTATTGATCACTCTTCACACTGCTTTTTTTCTCTGTGCGGATTTTAGACTTGTTAAAAAAATTTGTCTTTTCTTCTACTTGGGTGTCATAGACTACTAATTGAGCGCGTATCCTTGGAATCTCGTTCCTGTGGCGTTCCGTGAGACGATGTTGTCGACTGCCAAAGAGGATTGGCAGGTGAAGCTCGGCTCTACGTGAGCCGCGACGTGCATCACAACCACTCGGCCACGGCACTCCCTTAGTGATCACTGGATATCACAACTCTCGGAGACCTCAAACTTTCGATTCCAACAACACCTTTCAGTCTATTGTTTCAAGGCCTCGCTCAGAAAATCAATATAGTCTAGTTGAATGTTCTGAGCCTTTCAAAGGTATGGTAAGGCATCTCGAGTGGTATATGTACGTTTCGGCATTCTCGCACGCCTCATTAGTACCACATGCTCTACGATTCACCTCTGCTGCTAATACTAGCGGGCACCGAAAATGTACCACTTTACGTCAAGTAAAAGGATCGCTTGTAGTTGCAGCTCAGAGTGATTGATTGTTGATAGCTTAGGACTGTTATGGTGTAGTAGTATGGGTGAGCCGAAAAGTAAGTGGTACCGGTGAGGTGTGTGAGAATGCCGAAACGTAATTATATCACCGAGATACCAGGCCTTCCGAGAACCTTAAAACATTCTGCCAAACTGTTTGATTTTTGTTCGAAAAAGCCTTCTTAGAGTGCTATGCCAGCGAAAAAAAAAACACGTTCCACACTCGATGCTCACCTTTTTCGCTTTCCTCTTAGAGCGCACCTTCTCTGCGATTTTCTCAGACTTTTAATAGTTTGGCGCCTACGGTTGATAGGCCATGGGGGTGGAGGGTTCGCGCCTGCGCGTTCGCGGCACTCGGTAGCCGGAGCATATGTGTTTCTGTGCGAAACTGTCGTTGTGCCTGCGCTATCTTTCAGCAGCGTCCTATTCTACACCGCCGTCTCGGTAGGTGATTAAGTTCGTGGGAAATTGAAAGTGACAGGAAAAGCAAATCAGATTGCGCTTTGGCTATGGACAACCACTTACTAGGAAGCTGTCAATATCACTAGCACTATCACCATCACTTTCACAACCACCTACCACCACTACTGTTGCTATCATTACCACCATCACGGTCACCATCACTATCACTAATATTATCATTATCACTATCAGTATAACTATCACCATCATCATCACTATCACTATCACTATCATGTTTATCACCATTATCGCTATCAGTGCTATCACTATCACTATCATCACTGTCATTATCATCATTATCACTCTCACTATCGTTATCACTATAATTATCATTGTCACTTTCACTACCATTATCAATATCACTATCATTAATATGATCACAGTCATTAGCGAATGCAAGTATGATTCAATTTACAAGTGGGACAGCTTTTCAATGCAATGTCTACGCATTGAATGGAATGCCCCGTGTAAGTGCCCTTATCAAACATCACAAATAGCTCAAAAGGCTGGCAATTATGAATTTAAAGTTTGTTCTCCATTTTGAGTAAGAAACTCTAGATGAAACATATCACTCTGGTACTTCAAGCCAAGTTTTCCATCGTACTTTTAAATGCTTTTCAGCATAAGTTGAGGCTTCTCAGTCTTAGGCTAATTAACGAGAATCTTCGGTAATTTTTATTGCAAATAAGAAGCCTAAGTTCACGAGACAATAAAGCTTTTTCTCTTAGAATAACAATGCAAAACAAAAATGCACGCAATAACGGCGCCAGGTAAGGAACGCAATTTCACACTCATTGCAATCCCGAAAGAGAATTTTTAAAAAAGTGCATTTTGGACATCATCAAAAATTAGATCTTAGGTTGATTATGATAAGCCTACTGAAATGACACTCTCCAGTAAGGAAGACATTGACAAAAAATGGGTCCCAATAACAGGAAAGAACCTGAAGGATTCTAGGCACCTGAAATCACAAATGAATTGTGATGATAGAACCATTTTGACCTTTTAGATGGCTATTAACACATCTGCGGAAATGAGTCAAATCATTAAAACAGCTTGCAGCCATGAGTGCAATGAGACTTCGGCATACAAAATCTACAATATTGAGTTCCGTTTGCTTTGCATGTTTTGGAGAAGCTGCGAAGGACTGACGGCACTCCATAAACGTTCACCTTTATTGACACATTTGTAGTCATCGAAAAGGTGACTAAGGAAGCATTTGCTTAGTGGCTTTTGGTCACGTTCCTAAAAGTTGTTTTACTATCTCATCTCAATACACTGGCATCTTGGGAAGGAATCTTTTTTTGTCATATGATAAAAATGTTTCAATTTCTCAGTCTACTTCCTTGATTCTTGCACCTTCGTATCAGCCACCCATTTCTGATACCTTGAGTGATGAATTAAACAAAGTCTTCTTTCAGCTATAAGATGTCGTTGGCATCAACATAAGAGACTTCAGAGCTACGC